ATGCCCTTAGTAGGGCGGCTACTTAAGTGGTTGAACAGTCACAACTTAAAAAACATAGACTAATGGGCCTAAAGCCCAATAACTTCGTAACCTGACAACTTAAAAATAAAAGATAAATAATTGGGCCCAATAACTAGAAATCGGCCCAACTCAACACTCCCCCTCAAGTTGGGAGTAAATGTCACACATTCCCAACTTGCATAGGTCATGCTCCAGCTTGTTCCTTGCATCACCTTTTGTGAGAACATCAGCAAGATGCAACTCAGAAGTAATGTATGGGATACAAACTTCCCTAGAAGTCACCCTTTCTTTGATGAAATGTCTATCCACTTCAATGTGCTTGGTTCGGTCATGCTGAATTGGGCTATGGGCAATGTTAATTGGTGCCTGATTATCACAATACAATATCATAGGTTCTTCTGCCTTTACACCAATCTCTCCTAACAAGGAACGGATCCAGAGAAGTTCTGAAACTCCATGTGCCATGGCCCTGTATTCAACTTTTGCACTTGTTCTTGCCACCACTGTTTGTTTCTTACTTTTCCACGAGTCTAGGTTACCCCCAACAAGGGTGCAGACACCTAAAGTAGATTTCCTGTCATCAAGGCATCTTGCCCAATCAACATCTGTATAAGCCTCTAGCTTTAGTTGTCCATGATTAGCAAATAGTATGCCTCTGCTTGGGTGTGCCTTTAGATAAGCAAGAATCTTGTCAATAGCCTCCCAATGCTGGACTCGTGGGGCATGCATGTATTGACTCACCACACTCACTGCATAGGAGATGCCTGGTCTAGTCATACACAAATATAGCAGTCGCCCCACAAGTCTCTGATATTTCCCAATGTCCTTTACCAACTCATCTTTTGATTCATTAATTCTGTGGTTCTGATCAGTAGGAGTACTGACTGCCTTTGTTCCAAACTTCCCTGTTTCTTGTAGAAGATCCAGAACATACTTCCTCTGAGAAATAAAGATTCCATGTTTTGATCTTGCAACTTCAATGCCCAAGAAGTACGTAAGCTCTCCAAGATCCTTAATTTCAAATTCCCTATGTAGATTCTTCTTCAAACTGCCAATCTCACTTAGGTCATTTCCTGTGACAACAATATCATCCACATAAGCACTTAGGATTGACACCAAGGATCCCCTCCGCTTCACAAACAAGGTATGGTCAGATTGAGTCTTAGTGTAGCCGAAGTCATCTCTGCAACTGGTGCAAAGGTCTCTAAGTAATCAATGCCATAGGTCCGTGTGTACCCTTTTGCAACAAGTTTGATCTTATACCTTTCTATACTTCCCTCTGCCTTATATTTGACTGTGTAAACCCATCTGCTTCCAACAGTCTCCTTGCCCTCTAGTAGATCCACAATCTCCCATGTCTGATTCTTAATTTAAGCTTCCATCTTTTCCCCTACATAGCTGTCTTCCACTCATGTTTGGAGATAGCCTCATCCCTTGGGTATAGACACAGAATCAAGAGAGGAAAGGAAGGCACGATAGGAAGGAGAGAGTCTATTGTAGGATAGATGCTGTGAAATATAATGAGCAGTACACTTTCTCTTCCCTTTTCTGAGAACAATAGGAAGGTCCAGGTTATTTGTAATGGGATTAGTAGAATCAATGGAAACCGAAATAGTAGAGGGATCAAGAGGAATACCTGAATCCGTGTCAGCAGAATCTGAAGTCTCCAAGGAACCGACAGGAAGTGATGTGAGTTGTTCTTCTGCAGTGGAATCAACCTCCCTGTGAAGTCTCTATCGTGAGTAACACTGAGAAGCAGGATGCAAACGAGGCGGTAAGGTAAGTGACATAGGAGGATCAAACACAGGAGTGGACACTATTCCCCATGAGAAGGATTCTTCGAGATAAGGATGTGGACTCAAAAAATGTGACATCCATAGTAACATACCGACTCCTAGAGATTAGATCATAGCAGTAGTACCCTTTTTGATTTTCTGCATATGCAAGGAAGACACTTCTTTGCCTTTGGATCAAGCTTCGAGCGGTGAGGACCAAGAATATGTGCAAAGCAAACACACCCAAACACCCAAAGAGGAATATGGAACATCTCCCCCTCAGGAAAAAGGAGACTGAATGGTGTGCTGAATCCAAGTATATGGGAGGGCACCCTATTAATAAAAAAGACTGCAGTGAGAACTGCATCACCCTAAAACCGATCTGGAACAGTAGCTGTGACCGTCATGCTTCTTGCAATCTCAACAATGTGTCTATTCTTCCTCTCTGCAACACCATTCTATTGTGGACTATAGGAACAACTGCTCTGATGGACAACACCATATTCTAACAGATACGAAGCAAGGTGTTTTTCAAAATATTCCCTGGTATTGTTTGATCTGAACACCCTAATTTGTATCCCAAATTGTGTTAGCACCATTTGATGAAATTGCCGAACCAAGGATGGTACCTCATCTTGAGATCTCATTAAGTAAATCCAAGAATATCGAGAAAATTCATCCACAAATAAGAGAAAATATAGATAGCCACCCATAGAAGGAACATGATATGGTCCCCACACATTAGAATGAATAACATCAAAAGGAGATGAACATCTTTTATTACTAGCTTTAAAGGAATGTTTACAATGTTTTCCAAGTTGACAACTTTCACACTCCAGATTGGACAAATTAACAAACTTAAAAAACTTTGGAAATAAGAAACTCAAAGAAGAAAAAGACAAATGGCCCAAACGATTATGCCAAAACATAATCTACTCACAAACCCCGACTCACTATTCCCGTTGACATGATGATCCTGATGATGAGGAAGCACATCCAGGAGGTAGATTCCATTCACTTCACGACCACTCCCAATCGTCCTCTTTGAATTCAGATCCTACAAGACACAATGACTAGGAGAAAAAATTACTGAGAAATTCAGGTTCTTAGTCAAACTACTAACAGATAACAGGTTAGTACTCAATCTGGGAACATGAAGGATAGAGGGAAGGGAAATGGAATCATTAATCTTGACAGACCCCTTCCCAGCAATGGGAACATGAGATCCATCAGCTATGGAGACTCTGTCTCTGCCAGAACAGAGCTGGTAAGAAGAAAAAATAGTGGAACTATGGGTCATGTGCTTTAAGGCTCTAGAATCTATAATCCAAGGAGGTCCCTCCTTACCTGTAGTAGAAACATAATTTGTAGTGGCATGTGAACTACCTGTGTGAGAAAAGAAGTAGAGTGTGCTCCACCAGAACCACCTGTAACTAGCTGTCCACCTATTACTGAATTAGGACTGACTGTATCCCGCTGATTCAGGAACTGCCTATATCTCTCAAGTTTGGCCCTCACTGCAGCAATTGCAATAGACTCCAGAGTAGCTGTAGTAGGAGGGGTTGGTATGTCACCAGTGACTGCCATGTGAACGCGTTTCCCTTCTTGTTTTTAAGCCTATTCGGCACAAGATGAGGAAGCTTCTAGTAGGTATCTCTTGTGTTTTTAGGCTTCTTGCAGTAGTCACAAATCAAATCCTTTTTGTCTTCCTTCCTGATTTCACTGCCACCCCGGTCTCCACCTTGTTTGTTTAGGTTTCACAGTGCTAACCATGGCTGATTGATCAAAACCAGAATTTTTCATCATCACATTTCTCCTGCTCTCTTCCCCTGATACAAAGGCGTATGCCTGGGAGAGAGTAACACTGTCCCTGGAAAGAATATGTTGTCTTGCAATATCATACTCATGATTAAGGCCAATAAGAAATTCAAAAACCCTATACTTCTCTAGGAGCTTTTGGTAGGCAGCTGCATCCTTAGATGTTTCCCAAACAACTGTCTCCAGATGGTCAATCTCTTGCCACAGGGTTTTAAAGGCTGAAAAGTAAACAGCAATAGGTCTATCTCTCTACCTTGTAGCAATAATCTGATTCCTCAACTGATAGGTCCTAGCAACTTCCTCACTTTGTGATGAGTAGGTTTCTGCAACCCCATCCCATATTTCCTTAGCTGTATTTGCCGACAAACAAAAATCAAAGAACTAGAATTTTAGTCTTGAATTCACTTTTGTATTGCTCCATTGATCAAACAAAAATCAAAGAACTAGAATTTTAGTCTTTATAAACTTGAAGTCAAAACAGTACCTAGATGCTTGAAAACTGAACCGCCTTCTTTTAGAATTCAAAAGACACCTCCCAAGCATTGAGCACCACACCAAAAGCTTCTTCTTTATCTGTAACTTCCAAACTTTCTAATCAGCTAGGGTTTTGGGCAGAAAAAATACTGCCTCACTTCTTGGCAGTTTTTGGCTAGACTTCAGTTCTTTAAACCCTCTACCAACTAGGCAAAAGATCCTCTGAACTATAGAGAACCTTTCTCTCCATACACGCTCTTAACCGAAGGGTGTATGGGAAAAGAGAAAAAGGAAAAATAAGGAAGAAAGACACTTACTCTAATACCAAGAAGTGAATCAGTCCTCTAAAATTGATATAAACTTGATTAAAATTAGAGAGAAAAGTAGAGGACAGCAGTACAAAAGAAAAAGTTGGAGAAAAGAAGAGGAAGAAGAAGAGTTTGAATAATCTCCTCTCTCCCTTCTCTAATCCTTTTGTTAATCTTCATTCATTAAGCTAATTACAAGTATGCCCCTAAGTGGGCGGCTAGATAAGCAGAAACTTAAAGTGAGCTTATAAAAAAGAAATAACAGGCCCATTAACAAACAAATAAATAACACACTACAAGAATAAAAGAATAGATACTAGGGCCCATTCGGCCTAGTCTCTCTATACTGAAGTATGCCATTGCCATCATGTGATGGTTTAGTATATATGATGTTTTGACTGTACATTTGTAGAATAAATACTTAGGTTTTTTTCTTATGGTGCATAATTGGATTATAATCATGATAATCATCATGATTATAATTTTCCAAGAACCTTGGGATGCATAATTGGATATGATTGTATAGGTCATTCGTTATTTGAGTTGTTGTACTTTAGATTAGTTCCTGAGTTTTAATGCTTTTTGTTTTTTTTCCTTGTGATAGTTCCTTTCATTATTAAATTCAAATGTTGCATTTGTCTGTGAGATAATGCGAGACTGTTATGAGGCTTTTGCTCTGTATTGCTTTGAGAGGTATCTGATAGCTTGCTTAGGTATGTTTTACTTTACTTTCCATTTAAGAATGATGATTTTTATATTTTCTACTTTGGATACATATATAAATATTGAATTCTGCTCTGATCAATGTTACCCTACACATGCATCTGTAAATATCCTTTTTGTTTATAACTACACATTTCCCTTTGAAGAAAGGGTATAGGAAATAAGTAGATGAATAAGGGATCAGAACAAGAGAAGATCATAGTGGTCTATGCAATACGCAAAAACTAAAAAAAAACTCCTTTTTATGTTAATCAATGTTTTAAAAGCGCGAAGGTGTGATGTGAGGCGTTCCACTACCTAGAGGCATGAGGCACAATTCAGAATGCAAGAGGCGTAAGCCTCCCGAACACAAGGAGGCGTTAGCCTCCTTAAGAGGAGGGGGGGTTAGGAGGAGGAAGGGGGATCTCGTTTTTCTTTATTTTTAATAAAAATCTTTTATTATTAAGAAGAATAAAGATACATAACATTAGTTGAAAGGGGGGTCTTGGTGCTGAGAGATTTAGTCGACAAATGAATAGAGGACATAACGAGGAGGATTGGATCTGGGTGGTGACAAAGTACAAGAATGGCAGGAAAATAAGCGTTGGGGAAGGAAGCAGGGATAAGGCGACGAAGGGAGGCTCGAAGAAGAAAGAAAAAGAACCAAACTTTAGGAGGAGATTGTGGTCGAGGCCATTTAGAAGGACAGGACCCCACAGAGGAGGTTGACAACACAAAGGAGGATATCTCAGGTGTCAACTGTAGGATGATGGCTGTGGTAAGGAAGCCTATTGTGTGTGATGTGGGTAACCCCTTTGAGAGACCTGGTGGTGAACCAGCTCATAGAAATCCGGCAACTGTATCAGTGGAGATAGAGTCAAAAGAAACCGAAAGAAAAGAGGAAACTTTAGGAGAAATAACAACTATTACTACCTCAAGGTCTACCCTCAGAACCAAAGAGGTAAGTCCCTACAGCTCTTCGGAAGTCTCCCCATTAGAAGGATCGAGTGGAAGGGATGGGGTAGAGGAGCTAAGGCAAGAAGATAATGACAAAGAAAAAGAAAAATAAAAAAGGTAAGTGGAGGGAGGAAGAGGGAGGAGGTGAATTGAGAAAGAAGGTATATCTTAGAAGGAAAAGACAGTCGGGGCAGTTCACACTGGGTAGGGGAAGAGAAGGAAGCGGAAGGGAGAGAAGAGGAAGAGGCAGGGAAAAGGTCAATGAAGGAAGGAAAGGAAATGGATGAAGAAGAGAATAAAGAAGGTGAGGAAGGTACATAATTAATACAAAGCAGGGAAGTGGATATCAACAAACTGGTTGAGAGGGGGGGTTAAGATAGGAAAATCCCTTGGCCTAGTCTTCCGGGGAGGGGAGGGATTTGTGAATCTAGCTTTCGAGAAATTTGAAAGAGGAAAAGAGGAAAAAAAAGAAGGCAGGAGAGTTTAGTTAAAAATAAGGGGTGGGACAAGGAAGGATGAGAGGAGGAGAGTCTGGATGAGATTGAGTTAGTCTGAAAGCTAAAGAGGTAGAGTAGGAGGGGGAGGGGGATGAAGGTCCTCAGTTGGAATGTAAGAGGTATAAAGGAAGGGAGGGGAAGGGATTTGGTTTGAACTTGATTAGGAACCACAAGCTAGATGCGGTCATGGCTCAAGAAACAAAGTTGGAGAGAAGAGGGAGAAGATTGGGTGGCACTCAAAACGTTGGGTCTTTTAGGATGAGCAGTTTTGGATTCTGGGGGTGTTTAAAAAGGTGGGGGAGGAGGCTGGAACATATCTGATCTCAGTTTGCTTAGAAGAAGTAAACTGAGATTGGAGGTGGGGTGAGAATAGGTCAAAGAGCAGTGATCATCTGGTAGTAGCAGTGGGTAAACTTAGAATAGAATTGATCTGTAAAAGAACTTTTGGAGTACACTAGATTTGCACCCTTGTAACAAGGAGTATTATTTTTAGTTTGAGATTATTTGGAATTGGGTTGGAGTGTTAACTTGACAACCAATTGTCATGCATTTGACCTCTTTTTTCAGTTTTAATGAATTTTTCTTTTATCCTTGAAAAAAGTACATGAAGAGGAAAGGTTCTAAATCCAAAAGTCCAATTTTGAGAAATCAAGGAAACCCCCTTGTAGGATTTGAAGTAGTTAGTGTTTTCAACCCGTCGTTGACTTGGCTGTTTGAACCATCACCTGGCAAGGATTCCTGGTTTGATTCAATCAAAACCCATTAGGCGGTTAAAACTGTTAACTTGGTCAAGAACTGTTCGACTCAGCCAGTTCAACCGTTGACCTATTCAACCCGGTCACCAAGTCACGCGTTGCACACTCAATGCATGCAAACTTTCAAAGGCCATAACTTTGCACTTTGATGTCCCGATTAGGGTGATTTTTTTTTTATTTTGGTTAACTTTTTGAAGTCTATGAATTCCAAGGAGTTGTAGGCACCTTGCTCTGCTATTTTTGCGAAAAAAAAAACCCTTTTTTGGCCTCAAATTGCAAAACATATCTTTGAAACATAGTTATACATTATTTATTAATAAAATATATATTTATTCACACACACACACGCGCGCACACACACACACACACACACATATATATACCTTAAATACATGTGGGACGGTTTGACCCGTTCGATGGTCAAACTGGTGACCCATGACCTGGAGGAAAAAGCGGTTTGGCCTTTGGGTTGGTTTTTAAAATATTGGAAGTAGTGCCAAGACATTGTCCAGTTCCGCCCCTCCTAAAGCCCAAGTCCCAATCTACCTTAGAACCCACTCTATAATGGATAAGAAATATAAACATTGGCTCATCTTTAAAACTTGAGATTGAAAAAAGAGAAGGGAATTGTTCTTCTAAAAGCAAATTCCCTACCAAACATGTTCCCATAACTTTACCAAATTCCAAGAGCAAAGATTATACCTTACAAAAGGTAGGGCGGCATGTATGAATTTGTAAGGAGAAGCACTAGTAACTCGAGCCAACACTCTTGCTGCACAGCTCTCAGAAGCCCATGAATGCTCAAAATCACCTTAGCCCATAACAAGGTTCAAAGTATTACCTATATCTGCCGATACATATCATATCAGAAGCTTCCCGATATGCCCCTACAGAGGGTGTATCGGGGTTTCGACCGGTTCAGGGGGTGGACGGACCTTAAACCGGCCCCTCTGAACTAGATTTGAAAAAAAAAACTAAAAAAAAGCTATCGAAACTGCGGTGTATCAGGCATCTCGATATTTTGAACCTTGGCCCATAATTTATCCTTATCCATCGGTAGTCTCCATAGCCATTTCCCTAACAATGCCAAAGTTCTCTTCTAAATATTACCAATTCCTAACTGACCAAAACTCCTACTTCTACTAATAACCTCCTAGCTAACCATAAGGTCCCTTCATTCCTCCCTTGGCTCCCGCAAAAAATTTCTCATTAGTTTCTCTAGAGTTTTGCAAACCCCTGTTGAGATTTTCAACGTTGATAAGAAATAAACAAGCAGGTTAGCCAGAGTTGATTTTGTCGAAGTGATCCTGCTTCCCCAATGAAAGGTAATTCCTCTTCCAAGAAGCTAATCTTTAGTATATCTATCAACCATAGGGTTCCAAAAAATTCCATTCCTCATGTTATCTCCTAAAGGAAGACCGAAATAACTCATTGGCCACTGAGAAACTACACACCCAAAATAGTTGTACAATCCGAAACCACACGCTCAACCATGTTTATCCCCCTGCACAACTCAAAGTTAATTTTTAAATAATAGGTACTCTATCTCTTCCCACTCTCCAACCTCTAACCAGTTCTCTTGAATCTGCCCTAATGATTAACTTCCCCTAGGACATCAACAACTAAGGTAAATAGAAAGGAGGGAGAGGGTCTCCCTGTCTAATTCCTTTGATAGCTGGAAAATGATCCATTATAGTCTCATTCACCAAAATAGAATAGTGGCAAGTTCTAATACACCCTAGAGTCCACTTACACCATTCATCTCCAAACCCAAAATCTCATTACTTCAACTAAGAAGGAGCTCAACTCCTTCACACTCTCATTAGCAATTAAAATCTGATAAATAATTTGCCTATTTTTAACAAACTCCCCTTGATTTGGTGAGATAATGAAAGGAAACACAGATCTGATCCTTTGAGAGAACCTTAGCAATTATTTTTTAAAGGCTGTTAAACAAGCTAATGGGTCTAAAATCTCTTGGGTGACTTGCATTCAGTTTTTTAGGTACCAAAGCAATGAAAGTAGAAATCAGCCCTGGATTTACCACTCCTCTCTCAAAGAAATCATTGCATGCCCTTAGGATGTCTTCCTTTAAAAGTTCTAAGTAATCTTGATAAAATCCATTGTAAACCTGTCCAGATCTGGTGCTTTAGTGCTATCCATTGAAAAACCACTTCCTTTATTTCCTCCAATTCAAAGCTCCTTTCTAGCCAATCTTTGTGATCTCCCACTAAACTTGGCCAATTCAACCCTTTTAATCTTACTCTTTCTTGCAGGGGTTTTCTAAAAATAGATTTGAAATTTTCCACAAAAGCTCCAGCTATCTCAATTTATTGGGTAATTGTTACACCCTCCAACTCTATCTTAAAAATAAAATTCTTCTTTCTCCTACCATTTGTTAGAGCATGAAAGAATTCCGTGTTCCTATCCCTGTCCTTTACCCATTTGTGTCTAGACTTTTGTTTCCAACTCTTCTTTGAAGAGGATATCCTTCAGTTGCTCCTTTAATACCTATCTCTCCTCTCCTCCTTATCTCTCTCTCCGAAATTACCTTCAGCTTCTTTAGCATCTAGAGCCTCAATTTGATTGATTATCTCTAGCTTTCAACTCTTCTAGCTTGTGATCAAACTTCATGCCCTCCCATTTAACCCTTGGATTACTCTCTTTCCACCAATTCGTAATTTTCTCTTTGAACCGTGGGTGACATAACTACATGCTTTCAAATATAAATGGTGTTGGACCCCTGCCCCTTAAATCATCTGTAGTCAGGGAAATTGGCAAATGATCGAAAATTATTTTAGGAAAGGTCCTCGAGACCAAACTTTTATGCGGCTCTATGGAAATGAAGTGTTTGAAGAAAGTGCTACTGTGTTATGGTCCTAAAGGTTAAATGGCTTGTTTTGTCATGCTCCATTAATTCTAGGGCTTCTGATGTGTTGGTCAGGTACACAACATTTGATATCAAAGTCTACCTGTCTTGTTCAAATCATGGAAAGGGCTTCTTGGGAGAAGGGCTTCCTAGAGAAAAGTGAAAGTCATTTCAGAGGGCTACCTGAAGTACAGTAAAAAGCCATCATGAAAAGGGTTATGTCGAGCAGCATAAGGGCTGCCAAAGGGAAAGGTCTACCTTCTGGATGAATGAAATATACTGTGGAAAAGGCTACCTACTACTAGAGTGAGAGCTGTTGGGGGATAGGTTACCTTTTTCTGGTGAGAGAACTCCCTAGAGAAAGAGCTATCAAGATGTCTAGTGCAGAGCATGGTGGTATGGTATAGTCATAATGGTTAAATGTCCTGATTTGTTGCCTTCTGTAAGTTCTAGGGCTTTTGGTCTATTGGTCAGGTATGGACTATGTCACATAATGCTACATTTATTAGTCTAATTTTAGAGGGGGATGGGATAATGGAGTTGAAGGATTTTCATCCCATTATTCTTATATCTATTTCTCATAAAATTATTGCTAAAATTCTACCAAAAATGTATAAGTCGTTGCTTCATGAGGTAGCTGGCCCGACTAAAATGGCATTTATGGAGGAAAGACACATTTTAGATGGGGAATAGGTGAATGTGTTTACTCAAGATATGAAGTGGAGAGCTTGGTTTAGTTTGCAAAGCTAATCTCAGAAAAGCATATGACCACAAAGTGGTTTCTAGAACAGGTTATTAGATTAACGGGGCTTAGTGAAAAATGGGGTGCTTACATATTGTTGGTGTCATTTTCTATTCTTGCAAACGGGCCATCAGTAGAATTTTTTCAAGTATCTAGATGAATTACAACAAGGAGATGATTTTTTTTTTTGATAATTGAAGGGGAATTTTATTATCAAAGGAAGAGGACTCACAAATACCCCACAGAGAGGCACGAGGTGCAACCTCCCTTGAAAGTGTAAAAAACCATAGAGCACTAGAGATAAAATATTACAAGGTAGCCCAATACAAATGTTCCTTCAAATCCCTTGTTTAGCAAGATAATCAGCAATAGCATTTGCTGACCTACTCACCCAATGTAAGCTAACATTCACATTCCATGTAAACCAGCTGGCCTTCTTTTGGAGATCCTTGTAGCACCAAATGACTGAGTTTGGGTCTGTTAACCAACTCACAACAACCATTGCGTCTCCTTCAATTTGAAGATTCTCGACACCAAGTTGATTTGCAATCCGAATACCTTGTAAAGCACTAAAGCTGCTAACAACTTAGCCCTATTTGAGTCTCCTATTCCCTTTGGGCCCGAGTACAAGGCTAAGATTTTGCTATCCTTATCTCTCAAAACCCCTCCTATACCTATGGGGTTGGGATTGCCTTGACTACCATCAAAATTCAGCTTTATACAACCTTCTGGTGGCAGGGTCCACACCTTGTCGCCATTACCTTTTGTCCTTGTGGTTGAGGTTTTGATTAAATTGTTGTTTAAGGGGGTCAAATTTGGCCTGGTTAGAAGCTTTCAAGGGCCAATTATTTCTGACTTTCAGTATGTGTGCAACTCTTGTTTTCTCAGAGGCTTCATTCTGCCTTAGCAGCATTGCTTCTTGTAGAAGCTTTGAAATGAATGTGGCAATATAAGTCATGATGTGTTGCCATGTTGGGGTGTGCAGTAGCTCTTGGATGCCAGTTTGGGGAACTTCCATTTACTTATTTAGGACTTCTAGTTGGGGCAAAAGATTTTGCAGCATTTATGTAGCAGATGGTTGTGGTAGAATCACTTTGATCAAGAATGTGCTCGCTAATTTTCTTATTTATTATTTCTCTCTCAAGACTCTAGCGTGAATGGCTATTTGGATTGGGGAAATCGGAAGTCTGCTACTTGTGTGTTAGTATCATTGACTCTTTAGCATGTCAGAACTTGAAAAGATATATCCTTCACCATAGATTAAAGATTGTGGAAATATGGAAGGAATTTAGAAATGGTTGCTTTACAGTAAGATCTTACTACAATTGAAGAGATCAATATGCTACTTAAAAAATACTTCTGTATTATTCTTTTTCTACTGTAGTAAAATTTGTTTCTTAAAGGCTTTTAAAGTGAGAATTGTAGGGTGACAGAGGAGTGTTGGCACTCATTTGTTTTGCTCTTTTTGTTTTAAAAGACTTCAGGGTAGCCTTTGCTTCACGACTCATCGTTTTATGGATCAGTTACTTGACAACCTCTAATTGCCTTTTTATCTTTGCTGATTTGTTCAATATAGAGGTATGGTATAAATCTCAGACACATAATTTAGGACATTTTCTTCTTATGCGTCATACAAATTTTACCTTTTATTCCTTAAGAATAAATAGATCATTAAACAAAGTAAGAAGTGGCCCAATTTAGCAAATCTGATCAATGGATTAGTGCAACAAATTGATCAGACTGTGGGTTAGGCAGCATGGAAGATGATAGACTTGCATGGCCATAATGCATGGATGGACATATCCATATACATGCATGCTTATTAGGGGTGTTCAAATTCGGTTGATAAACCAAAAACCGAATAAGCTAGTTTGGTTTGGTTTTTGTTTTTTTTTTTTTAAGTTGGTCATCAGTTTCAGTTCTGTTTGGCTGAGATATTCAATCAAACCAAACCAAAAGCCAAATTAATGCTTTTATTTAATTAAGTATATTAAATATTTTATGTTCTATTCAATACTTTATACTAATTAATTATTATCTTTTCCAATGACCATTTTGGCAATTCCCAATTGGTCTTTGGGCCCATTCTAACTTTTAATCAATAATAGTTAATTAAAACATAGATTAATTATTAATTGTTCATTAATCATTAATTGTTTGTGAATAATGGCCAATTCGGAAATTCCCCATTGACGTAGGGCTTTGGGTCTATTCTAACTTTTAACTAATAATAGTTAAATAAAACCTAGACTAATTATTAATTTTTCATTAATCATTAATTATTTGTGAATAATGGCCAATTTGGAATTTCCCCATTGGCATAGGACTTTGGACCTATTCTAACTTTTAATTAATAATAGATAATTAATTAAAACCATTGGGTTTTGGGGCCATTTTAACTTTTAATTAATAACACTTAGTAATTATTGATTATTCATTGGTTGTTGAATGTTTATCATTTATGTGGAATCAGGGCCCAACCAAACCGAAAACCAGACCAAACCAAACTGAATTCGGTTAGGGGTCGGTTTGGTTGGAGAAAATGGTCAAACCGAATAGTTGGTTAGATCCTCGGTTCTAACCGAACCGAACTGACAGATTGTACACCCCTAATGTTTATGATGTTGGAGACAAGGATACCTTTACTGTCAAAGAAAAACGTAAGCTGAAAAGGGATTTACTTCCATTATATTATTGCTGATGACAAGGGCTCATTACATGGTGTAATGGTAAAATCTCAGACTGTCAAGTGTGAGAATGCAGGTTTGAGTCTATGGTTAGGACCATTTCTAGTTCACCACCCAAGACCCCACATAGCTATGGCCACATTGGGTAACAGCCTTTTATATTATTGCTGACAGTGCCACATGTGATTCCTGTTTTATTTCATTGGCTTCCTTTTTACTTGTTAAGAGAAGTATTACTTCTTGAATTTGCTAAAGTTCCATTTTATTGTCAATGCATGTTTATTGTTTGGACACATCATGGGAGTTTTCCTAATTTCTTTTGATTGAATGTTTTTGCTTAAAGGTGGTGAGGAAAATACAATTATCTTCATGGAAACTCAGAGTCAAATCACTTTCACTTCACCTCTTCTGGAAGATGCATATTTTGATGGGGTTGTGGAACATCCATTCCCACTGAATTACTTGTTAAGGCACTGGTATCTTGGTCCTGATTTCTACCATGCAGTAAAAATTGGCATTGTCCAATATGTATGTTCTATTTTGTCTTATAATTTTCCTTGAGTTTACTCTTTTTGGTTGGCTTGAACTTTATTACCAGTTTACTAAAAGATATTTGTCTATCAGATGATATTGAAAATGATCTGTGCACTGCTAGCAATAATTTTCGAATTCTTTGGGGTTTATGGAGAAGGGAAATTTGACTGGAGATATGGGTAATTATCCTCTCCTCCATTTCTGTTATTATTTTGTCAAAAGGAAATGTTACATCTTCTAAAACAATCTTGCATATTTCAATCTTGCATCCCCACTTTTTTCCTTACTGATTAGTTAACTACAAGTCTACAAGTATATTTATTTCTTGTGCATAGAATAGTTATGTCTAGCTACAACATACAAAAAAATTTGATCCAAGAAATCACCTTTTTTGTTATGTTTCAATGGTTCTGTATTTTGTTTGCAGCTATCCATATCTGGCTGTTGTTCTAAATTTCAGTCAGACATGGGCTTTGTATTGCCTTGTACAGTTCTACACTGTCACTAAAGATAAGCTAGAACCGATAAAACCTCTGGCTAAGTTTCTGGTGTTCAAGTCAATTGTATTTCTAACATGGTGGCAAGGTGTTGCTGTTGCATTGCTCTTCTCAATGGGAGTTTTGAGAGGGTCTCTGGCTAAAGAGTTGAAAACACGTATTCAGGACTATATCATCTGCATCGAGGTGTGCAATTGACCTTTTTTCTCCTGTCCTCCTGTCTCACTCCCCTCCTTTTATTCATTACATGCCTCTCATTTCCATGCCCATGTCAGTATTATTTGTGACTAGTGTTTCTGTAATCAATTTAAGGAGATTCATTATCTTCTTGCTAGCTGATATTGTTGGTTTTCTTTTGTTCTGTGTAAAATTGTCTCAGTAGAATCTGTTGAAACTTAAGGTTATGTTTGGTTGTTGAGAAAGTGGGAGGTAAATGAGAAAAAACATTAATTTTTCTTAAAAAAATCCTAAAGAAAGTTTTTTTTTTCTTTTGATTTAGGAAAGTGGATGGAGTGGCACCTATAACAAGATTTTCTTGATTCTAATGTTTTCTTTTAAAAAAACCTTTGTTTTTTGACAATTAAATGCCTCTAAGAAAATAAATGGTTTCTTTGAGATAGAGAGTAGTAGGGTGCCTTCAGAGTGATCCATAGGGTGAGATCTCTGAAGCTTTTTGAGAACATTCCTGCGGGTGACTTTTTGAGAAATTGGAAGGATATAGCTGATTCTGCTCTATTCAAGGAAATTGTTAGGCCATCTTACTCCCCTCCTAGTGGTTTTATCAATTTGAATTTGGACAGTAGCAGTAAAGAAAATCCGGGCTTCAGGCATTGCCAGTGTTTTCAGGAATGATGAAGGGAAAGTTATTGCTCTCTACTCAGGTCCAAATAGGGTGGGTGACTCATTAAGGGCTGAAATTTTTGCTGTCTTGGATGGAATCCAAAAAGCTAACGAGCTGAATATCAGTAAGCTGTCAACCAAAGGGGATTCCAAGTTAGTGGGACTATATTTATGAGAAAAAAAGAATTTTGTGGCTTTTACAAGGAATGAAAGTGACTTTTCAATGGGTGAAAACTGAAAAGAGATGCTAACACTTCTGCTGATACTTGGGCCAAACAAGGGGTGGGAAAAAACCAGCTGGTTTGGGCATTGTTGCGATCTGTATCCAGTTTGGGAGAGCTAAGTGAGTTTATCTCTCCCCTTTTCATCTATGTCCCTCTTTCTGTTTAATCGATCTTAATGAATCTGATTCAGTTATTGATAAAAAGAAATAAATGTTTTCTTTTCTTTTGTTTATTTTCTTTTTGGCAACCAAATACAGCTAAAAGTAATCAATGAATGTGCTGGTCATATCATACATACTAAAGGCTTGATATATCACTAGTCATTATGACTTAGGATAATTGCAGGAAAAATTGGTCTGTTCCTTTATGCACATAAAACTAAGTGTAAGTAAGGGCAAGTACGAATTTGATATTCACCATTTTAAATTATCAAATTAGTAAACTTTTATTGAGTGGATATGACAAAATTAGTAGTCTAGATGGCCATGGGGCTTTTGGCCAGCAAACAGCAGCTTTGTGACTTGTGAGGGTAGTGAATTTGAGCTATACAATGAAGTGGTTCCAGTGGCTGCCTAATTCATGTAATGCTTGTTTGCTTGCCATTGTGTAGAGAGGAGAGATGATAGGAATTATCAAATATGTATCTATCTGCATATATATTTAAGAATATGAATGGATGCATGCATGAACACATACACGCACACACACACACATCCACTTAAACACACGACTAAAGTGTAGTGGCTCATTAGTTTACCCCCATCTATCTGAATGATCTAGCCTAGATGCCACCTGGGCATCAGTTAGGTGGTTCTCTAGACAAATATGACTTTTAATTTATTGGGTCTAATGTATGCTGCCAGATGGGAATTGCTGCTGTTGTGCACCTCTATGTCTTCCCAGCTAAGCCTTATGAATGTGGAGAAAGATCTGTAAGTAATATAGCTGTGATGGATGACTATGCATCACTAGGAACATCTCCAGATCCAGAAGAGGTTCTAGACTGTGTAAGGCCTACTAGGATGCGCCTTTCTCGGAGTGATGAGAGACAAAAGCGACTGAACTTCCACCAGAGTGTTCGTGATGTGGTTGTGGGAAGTGGTGAAATTGTCCGTTATTCTATTTTCTTAGAATTTATTAGCTATTACTTATTTTCATCAATACCTGTTTTGTCTTTACTGATATCATTTGTGTTGTTTGTGTTCCTAGATTGTTGATGACATGAAGTACACCGTTTCCCACGTGGTAGAGCCCGTGGAACGTGGCATTGCAAAAATAAATAAAACCTTCCATCGGATATCTGAAAATGTGAAGCAGCATGAGCAGCAAAAGAGGAAGTCGAAGGATGACAGTCATGTTATTCCCTTGAATTCATGGTCAACAGAATTCTCAGAAGCTCATGAGCAGGGAAGCATCAGTGACAGTGGTCTTGCCAAAAGGAAACACCATCGACCACCCAAGAGCCAGAGGCCCACAGCTTCTCAAGTCAGATAAGCAGATGGTTCCCCCAAGACGTAGCCTTTATCTAAAATCCAACAGCAGGGGTTAGATTGGAAGGAACCATCACATACCTCACAAGATCAGCATACTCTCTACAAGTAGGTTTTGGCTTTCTATGTTGTCTTAGTTGTCCAAAGATTTGATGCATAAGTTTCTGAATTGACCATCTCGATTTACAGGTTGAAGCAGTTAGAATGGAAAAATGACTACAAGCGTTTTTTAGCTGGATAGAACACATGGAGTTTCTTTGTCTTGTACAGCAGTTAACAAATATGACGTTAATTCTGCTGCAGAGTCGGAACTTTATTTTAGAAAAAGGGGAGGACTCTCCGGTTAGAATAGGTATTCTGATTTACTGTACCTTTTTTTTTTTTTTGTTGTAGCGGACAATAAACAGATACTATGATGCTAGTGTAAAACTAATAACCTTAAGTATTAAAGGCTTGACATATTTCGTGTAATATTAAAAGCTGGTGCAACTGTACATTTGGGTGTAATTTTAGAACTACACCTCAAAACATATACAACTTGTGTGTGTGCTCTGTCGAGTTTTATATTTTTGTCTGGTCCTCTAGAGCACTCTTTTTTAGTTTATTTTGGTTGCTTCAAGGGGCTACATAACGGGGGTAGCCCATCCCTTAACGCCCCTAAATCTGGTGGCAGCGGGATTTGATCCCAGGTCTCTACTTCTCCAACGAGTCATCCTACCAGCCACCATCAATTGGTCCTCTAGAGCAATGTTTTTAAAATCATAGGAAACCGTTTTGGGGACTGTTTCTTGAGTCGAATAATCCGATTGTCCGGTTCAAACGGACTGCCCGCTCTGACTTAAAAAAATAAATAAATAAATAAAAAATGATAAGAAACTGTCACTTGTAGGAATGGCCAAAAGGGTCACTGGAGGAAAGAGTCCAAAATCTTGTGAAGACATGGGAAATGGAGATCGTGCATAAGGTCGATCCGGCTGATTATAAAACTATAAACACTACAAACTTTACAATCAGCATAAATGGTACAATCTAAGTACTGCATACTGATATCTCTTCTTTCTCCCTTCATATAATTAGTTAACTATATATTTCTATCTGCAAACTAAACTTCTCATTGAAACAACCGGTGG